CCAGGTGGAGGTGATTGGGGCGAGTTCAACAAAGTTTGCTCATTGCTTTGCTGTGCCGGAAGATAGAGAAGGAACGAGCGACATCTGGATTGAGAGTCCAGCGTGCAAACCCTGGCACCCAGAGCATCTCGTGAGCCAGCTGACAGACCATGGCCAATGTGCCATCGAGTGGACGAAAAGTGATCCCAACAAAGTAAAATAAATTTTGTTATAAATATTAATATTTATTTGAGAAGTTGGCACGGACAGGGAGGGCATTCGCATGGAAGTGGCAACTCCACCCATGGATGGGTCAGGGGCCGTCCATAAATGACGTCACGCACCTAGGGGGGGGGGGGGTCAGACATTTGTGACGATGTGTGACGAGGGGGGGGGGGGGGTTGAGAAATGTGACGTCCCGTAAAAATGCGCAACTTTAAATAAATATAGACTACACGTTCTACTTAATTAAGTATACTTTTTAATAAATGTTTTCTCCTAGAACATCAGAGTGCAGCGCCACATTAAATATGCACTACAATAGTTTAAAGCGATTTAAGCATGTTTTTTGGGGGGGGGCAGAGCTTTGTGGCATCATATTTGAGGGGGGTCTGACTTTTTGTGACGCCGTGTGATGAAGGTGGGGGGTCAAAAATGTTCCAAAATCGCGTGACGTCATTTATGGACGGCCCCTCATCACATGAGGACAGCACCGAGACAATCTCCTGGGGTTGTTCGTCAACACAGGGTGGTTCATTGCTCGCTAAACAAGGTTTGGGTTATTTTGCACGTTTCCAGTTGAATAATTTAAATTAAAAAATAACAATGAAAATGTCCATCTCAAGTGTAGATTTGAATGCAAACCGGGATAGGCTGTGACGTGGCAGGGCGTCTGCCCTGCTTTGACGGATTTTATTAATTGGAGCAGCAGTTGCACCACTAGCGAACTGTGGCACATTAGGAATGGATCACTCTTTTAATTATATCCTTGTGCAGCACGGGAGTAAAGTGTGGTTCTGTGAAAGTCCTGATGTGCTGTGCAGTGCATCAATGCATGTGTGTACAGCAGCATGTGATGACTGAGTCGGCCCTGTAGGTGGCTGGCAGGGTTATTGAATGACCGCGCGGATACACCAGCCACATGGTTCATGGCGACTCGGAATAATTGCTGTGTGTGACACGTGCTGGTGCATTTTACAGGTAAAGGATCCAAAGGTTGTTTTTGATCGTTATATACATGTTCCAGATGTGTTCTAGACTTGTTCTAGACTTTAAGCTTGGCTTTGAATTGTTCGTTTGTGATATATGCAATTAGAGGCGTTTTAGCATTGTGCATGGTAAAGGGATGACGCACTGTAATTACTTACTGTCATTGTAATTCTCTAAGTCTAATACTGTTTAGTCTATAACCATGCCCATGTACCCAGAGTATGACTACTTGCAGTGCTATTGAGAATAGAACACATGTAATGTAGTAAGCTGTACGTATACTGTACACATACAGTACATATAATGGGTGTAAGATACCGATATAAGTGGATGGTATAGATAGACATACAGCTTAGGATTAAAGGAATATTTGAATAGTGATGTGCAAATGTGATTGTCAAAGACAAATATTGTTTATCAGTAGTAGAATTAGGTTTAAGAGAAAACTGTGATTGAATAACCGCACTTGAATACACCAGCCACATGGTTAATGGCGACTCGGAATAATTGCTGTGTGTGACACGTGCTGGTGCATTTTACAGAGTGACGGTGCTGTTCTTCACAAGATTGCTATTAACCACAATAAATGTGCCTGCCCTCGATTGGGAGCACCTGCCCACGTCCTTCATTTCGAGTGTGCAACAGAACCACTATGGAAAGTTCTCCATACATCGTCATCAGCACTGTTTTATACAAATATTTCTAACAGCATCTTCCAACCATTATTGTGCTTTAGTTTTTTTGCTGGCAAAGCTAATATTAATAATGTTTTAGTAATACTGAGCTTGCTAACAGATTGTGGTCATTGGACATAGCTTGACAATATTCTCAGCCTGATTAGAGCCCCCGCATTAATATTCCAGTTGTAAGGATCGCCTGCAGCACTTACAATATTAAAATTATCTTCCATTTATGTTTCCCCTTCAATCTTTTTTGTTGTTTTTCTTTGTAAATGGCTTTTGTGTAAGCAAAGATCTAACATACTGAGTTGCGGGATTTATGTTATGTCAGTAACTATTAACAATCTGTAGATTGAGACTGTATGTGTGTATTTTTAGCCTGTATGGCTGTGGGAAGTGAGCCTGTCTAGTGAGCCTGTAGCGTGAGCCTGTTTGTGAGGCTGATGTGTGAAGTGAATCTGTGCAGTAAGCCGGTCTGTGTCTAGTGAGTCTGTATATCGTGAGCGTGTGCAGTGAGGCTGATGTGTGAAGTGAATCTGTGCAGTAAGCCGGTCTGTGTCTAGTGAGTCTGTATATCGTGAGCGTGTGCAGTGAGGCTGATGTGTGAAGCGAATCTGTGCAGTAAGCCGGTCTGTGTCTAGTGAGTGTGTCTGCATATCGTGAGCGTGTGCAGTGAGTGGCGACGTGGGGCGTCCGTAGTGGAGCCTCCACGAGACCGGTGTTTGTCAGCAGCTCGAGTGGCGTGTGCTGTCTGCCTTGTCGACAGGAATTCAACTTCCTTCTTGAGCTCGGCACACGCGCCGGTTTTTTTTCCTGCATCGTAGCAGTTACACGAGGTCTGTTGCCGTAGATTGGACAGGGCACGCAATACCTTCATCAATAACGCTGCATTGAAGGGGAACTATGTAACTATTTTCGTTGGTTACTTCGGTAAATATACTCTTAAGTTTTTTCGGTAAAGTCACGTAGGTAAAAATAAATTATACAAATAATATAAATAATAATATAAATAAAATAATAAATCACGACGTTTCGGAGGCAACACAAGTCTCCATCATCAGGTGGGACCGTCACAGCTAAATTTGCTGTATCAAGTGAGGCAAAAATCCAAGAGACAAGCTCTTAAATACAAGTTAAGGGGGAGGGGGGGAGGGGCTTATCTGAATGTGGTAGCCAGGGAATGGAACGTGTTGGGGGAGGGGCTAAAAGAGAACAATCTTTCGGTGAAGTCACGTAGGTAGAAAAATAAAATAAGATAAAAAATCACAAATCACGACGTTTCGATCGCAACACAAGCGGTCGTCCTCAGGCTGGAAAAAAATCATTCAGCAGTGGAACTGCTGAACCAGAAGAACACAGTGAGAGAGCTGTTACAACAAGAGGCTATATATGTTGGCTTGTTGTAGCAAGAGGTTATATATGTTGGCTTGTTGTAACAGCTCTCTCGCTGTGTTCTTTCTGGTTCAGCAGTTCCACTGCTGGATGATTTTTTACGCATGAGGACGATCGCTTATGTTGCGATCGACCGCTTGTGTTGCGATCGATACTTCGCGATATATTTTAATTTATTGTTCTACCTACGTGACTTTACCGAAAGAACCAAAGAGTATGGATTCCTGCAGTCACGAAAGCTTCAAATCATTATGTATCTATGACATATTCATTAATTAAAATATTTCATATTCATATATTTTACTGATCTTTTGCGCCACTGTTAAGGCACGGAGGGTGACATCAGAACAGCCGCTGCAGAAACTGTAAAGAAAAAGTGGCCTAGAATTGTGAAGCCAAAGCAAACCGCAGCAGCCTCGCCCCACTGCCCACGCCTTCGGTTACCCCTTCAACCCGCATCTCGCCGTGGGTGCAGTGAGAGCTCTGGTCTCTCCGGTACACGGCCAGACGGGGCCCTGGAGGACACGGGACCACCTCATCCAGAAGGACGACTTCTAGACCCACACCGCCTGCTCTAGAACCATCTCTTCTAAAATAACCTCCTCCAGAACCTGCACCTTCCACAAGACCCACCACCTCCAACTCCAATACCAGTCCCTCCATCAGCTCTCAGGCAAGTCGACTCGACTATGTATGGTTAACATGTAAGAGTGTAGAGAAAAATGTACCAAGTATGATTGTGAATGTACCAAGGAAGATTGTTTACGATTTGTGAGGCTTTGCGAGTGACCATTCCGTGTCGTGAGCCTTTGTGTGTAGTGAGCGTGTTTGTTTCGTAATCCGGGTTGTGTAGTGAGCCTGTCAGGGTAGTGAGCTTATCAGTGTAGTATGTCGGTCTTTGCATTTAGCAAGTCTGTGTAGTGAGCCTGTGTGTGTAGCGAGCGTGTATGTATCGTGAGCCTGACTGTGTAGTGAGCATGTCTGTGTAGTCATTCTGTTTGCGTAGTATGCCTGTCAGTGTAGTGAGCCAGTCAGTGTAGTGAGTCTGTCCGTGTTGCAGGCATGATGGGAGTGTTACGGACAAGACTCTTCCTGTGTCTTCTCGCTGGAAGCCTCCATCTGAACGGTGACTCCTCACTGATCTCTTTTTCTCACACACTCCGCCATCTCTCCAGACACCTCTCTTCACATCTTCTCACGTCTTTTCCTCTGTTGCACTCATTCTCTCCATCTGTGCTCTCGCCATGACGCGATAAACTCCTCTATCTCCAGTACATGAGGAGTTGTCCTGGGTGACCCCTAAGCTCCAATCTTTTTCTCTAAACGCAAAGCCAAGTAATGAGGGCATCTCTCTCACTCGGAGGCATTTCATCGCTACTCATGTCCATGTGGGACGTGTCTCCGCTTGTCACGATTACTTTGTTCAACATACATACGTCACTGTGATGCGACTTCATGTGTCATGTGCCCCTTGTGCTCTCAGAGGCTGAAGGCAATGATTGGGGAGTAAACTATGGGCAGTTGGTGGTGACTGCAACAGAGGGAGCAGAGGTGGAAGTCCCTTGCGTGTTCTCGTTCCCCTCGGGACGAGGACCCGTTGTACGACAATGGTGGACGAGAGATGGCACTGCAGCCACAGCAGATAACATCGTCTACAGCTCCACGCCAACAGAGGTGGCTGTGAGCTACAGAGGGCGGACCTCCTTGAGCAGATATCTCAGCAGCGGTAGCTGCGCTATTATGATCAAGAATGTCGCAGTCTCAGATGCCACCATCTACTACTTCAAATTTGAGTTGAAGACCCAGGGCTACACTGGGACACCTGGAGTTCAGCTTCGTGTAAAATGTAGGACTGCACCTGGATGATAAAATGATATTAAGATCATATGTGCTATTTTTCTACTTGCGTGGTAATGGATTTATTAGAATATGAAATCGACCATCTTTCATCTTATCAGAATATTAAGTTACATATTTTATGTATTTATATTTAATGACCTGCTTACCTTTTCTCTACTTTTTACTCTGATCGTTTTGTTATATTTTTTGCTGAGAAAATTGGTGCCTTGCCCTTACTGGACATTTCCACTCTAAATACAGATTCTGACATTCCGGGGAAGGATTCAGCCATGTGTACGATCTGTGCGTCTCTCACAGGCGGTGGTGGGTTGACTGGCCCCTTGGTGAGCTACGGGCTCGCGGTGAGGGTGCGGGAGGGAGACCGGGCGCTACTGCCCTGCGCTTTCTGCTTCCCGTGGAGCCGCATTATCTACAAAGTGCAGGGCTCCTGGCTCATTAACGATGCCTATGGCGAGACAAAGACAGAGAACATCGTCTACAGCTCAGTGAGCAAGACTAGCCCCATAGAGGAGTACAGGGGGAGAGTGGCGCTGGTGGGAAGTCTGAGCTCGGGGAGCTGCTCCCTGGAGATCAGAGACGCGTGGAAGGGAGACTCGAGGACATATTTTTTCCACGCCAACAGCGATGGAACTAAGTTCAGTGGCGATGCAGGAATTACAATTACAGGTATGGAACCTTTCATGGCTATTTTCTTAACAGTAAATAACTTAAGAGGCACCATTGGAACCTCATTTGCCAGTAATACATATGATAATTGGTTTTTTACCCTTCTATCTGGCAACAAAACTGACACCTTTTTTACAAGGAGTCATGTTTGCATAGACCACAATACTTTTGGCGTCATCTGGTCCAACCCATGTGAGACTAGGCTCTAAGGAAAGCTGTCTCGGGTGTGGACCAATCAACATCAAGGACAGTGCACATTATCAGAGTTGTGTTTTTTGTTTGCATTATGACTGCAGGTATTGTGGTCTATGCAAACATGACTCCTTGTAAAAAAGGTGTCAGTTTTGTTGCCAGATAGAAGGGTAAAAAAACAAGTATCAACTTAAGAGGCATTACACTGGAAATGTTAAACAACTGCAAACTCGTGTTTATATTTAGAGGCGAATGGATGTGATACGAGAATCCACGGCAATGTAACGTTCTGCCAAAACGAGACGCGCGTTGTGTGAGCTCCACAGCCTGTACCGTTGCATTCCCCTCTTCTATTCTATATTTGAAGTTTTCGTGACTGCAATAATCCATACTCTTTGGTTCTTTCGGTAAAGTCACGTAGGTAGAAAATAATATATCACGTCGTTTCGATCGCAACACAAGCGACCGTCATCAGGCGAAACAATCACAGCATGAAACTGCTGAACCAAAGAGTATGGATTCCTGCAGTCACGAAAGCTTCAAATCAAGATTTTAAATGCGTTTTTAAACCTGCCACCACCCGACACAGCCAATTAGTAAGGTTTGTCAAGTAAACAAAACAATCCAATTCGTTACTAGTACAGCACACCGGTGTGTTGGAGAGTAAACCATATATGGAAGCATGGCAGCGCAGTGCCTGGCCTTCTGGGCACACTGGCTACCAGGAGGCCAGGAGATGGTGGTACTGCTATGGATTGCTGAATCTATCAGTGCAGAGCTATGGGTGTTTCACCCACGTATGCATTTTTCCTCTCACTTCCCAAAATATAATTCATGGATGTGGACAAATATTTAAATGTGAGGTTGCAATTCATTGAGGCTTTCCAAGCTAAATAAAGGATGTTATTATTACTGTCCCATCATATGATTCCAGTGTGAGTATTCAATAGGGAGATCTGTGACTTGCAATACATGTATACCCCATCATAACCATGATGGTTATGACGATGATACCGTACCTCCAATTAGCGTCGTTGGCTTTGTACGCTGGAAAGGAAGTTTAGCATACATGTTTTTTGTTGTAACAACTTTTTGTTCAGTCTATAACAGGTCATTAATTCCTGATACTGAGGGAAGCAAGAGACGGAGGGAGAAAGTGGGGACACGAGCTACTCTGAACTGCAGAACCACAAGCTCCCAGCAAGCAAACAACTTTAAGTGGTGGAAATACAGATCAGATGGTCAGTACGAGAGGTTGTCTGAGACGAGAAGTCACCTGACCTTGGAAGCTGTGGCTGTAAAACACGTGGGCTGGTATGAATGTGAAGCGTGGAGCTCAACAACAAACAGCGAATATTCATGGACGGAGCTGCACGTTTTCTGTAAGTAATCACCCCCTAACTTGGTGACACGTGACATTAAAGATACTCTTATCGACAAACTACGAACTGTGCCACCAACTAACGGAGGGCATGCAATTAGCCTGACTAGAGTTGGGATGAATGTTCCCTGTTGTTCATGGTATTTGTGCAGAACTCAGCAGTGAAGCCACTGCTCAGAGCAAGCCGGGGAGAGGCTCCCTGGTGCAGAGCACCGAGCGGTGCACCTCATTTCGTGTGGCACACAAACGCGCCACTGACGTTGTGTTCATGGTGCGTGTCAGCTGCTTCGGGACAGCGAATTGACTTGCAGGCACCATCGATAATTACCTGCTATCATTCTAACACTTGCTAGTTGATCTAATATTAGATTTTTTAATGGATAGTGCAGCGCCTTATGTAGGCGCAGCTTTCTTGTACCAAAAATAAGCTACGCCTTAACTTGTGGGAGCAATAAGTCTGACACGTGTTTGAGGTGTCTTAAATCAAACGGTTTCTATATTTCTTAGTTGCACAAAAACGAGCGATTTCTAAAGGTATATCTTCGCCTGTTCACGTACTGCATCACGTTGTTGCACGGTCAAAGACTGTGTCCACTCGCTCCCCGCCCGGCTCTTCTCGTAACTTCCCGTTTATAATCTAGATTTGAAGTTTTCGTTTATACTCTAAAACCGGAAATGACGTCATGTGTTCAACTAACGGAGCGTCTAACCTAGGCCTCGGCAAGGTAAGGTAAAAGTGTAAAAACAACGAGCCTACCTTTACCCTACCTTAAACCTTACCACAATACAATCACTCTACCCTACCCTTTTACCCTTTAGCAGGTAAGGTAAAAGGTAAAAAGCAACGAGCATACCTTTACCCTACCCTTTACCCTTACCTGTACCCTTTTACCCGGTACAAAGGGTAAATTACCTTACCTTGCCGAGGCCTAGTCTAACCACAGGGGGGTTTCTAAACAGTTGAAATATTCCAGATCAAATATAACCAGTCTGTCCAACAAATGTATGTCAGATGTACATCCAATGTATACACAGAAATAATACATTCACTTTCTGTCTCATGGCTCTCACACCTTGCTCTCGGTGTGTACCACTGCCTCTGTGCGTTGTGGGTGATGCCCTAAACTGCCGACCTGAACCCACCTTAACGTCACCGTGCCCCCTGCCCCAGCCATTCCCACGCGTGTGGCGCTCACCCCGGCCCCGCTGGAGTTGCGCGCCACCGAGCCGGCCACCCTGGACTGCAGCGTGGACGCCGTGTTCCCCATGGACTCCGTCACCGTCCGCTGGATCCTTGTCGATGTCGTAAAGTGGACAAACTCAACCTCCCAGAGTCGATCTCCAGACGGGACATTTACCGTGACGAGCCGGCTCAGCTTCACCCCGTCTGCCGAGGACCATGGAAAGAGATATCGCTGTGAAGTCTCGGGAGGCGACCTGGCCTCAACGATGGTCCAAGAATTCATCTTGGTCGTCAAGTGTGAGTGTCCAGCAGTGGTTGTTGCCCGCGTGTCTAGATTGGTGTAGAAATTGTGCCACTGTGTGGTGCTGTAGTGACAATGTTACGAGCAGCACAGAGATTACTTGCTGTGTAATGTCCTCCAGTGACTGGAGGTCACTTAATTAATTGAGGTCAGATGATACATGTGATCACAGCTGCTTTGTATGAAGGAAATTTAATAGGGGGCTTTGATCTACAGGTGATAATTGTATTTTGTTATGTTTTATTATTATTATTATTTTATTATTTCCCTTCTACGTGATTTTACCGAAAGAACCAATAATTTGATGCCACTAATTTGCCCTTCAATTGTATTGGTCAGCGTCGATGTTTCCGATCCGTGTTGTGATGGTGGTTGATGTGCAATGCTTGAAAACCGTCTTCGTTGGGCACATTCGTATGTTGTTGTTTTTAAATCAAATTGAGTTTTGTCTCATCAATCCATCTTGCCGTTGTCTATTAATGGTGTTGTTTTCAAGGGGGGCACTGCCTGCTCGTGGCAGATTATACATGTGATCACAGCTGCTTTCTATGAAGGAAACTTAATAGGGGGCTTTGACCTACAGTTGACTCCCCCTGCAAGGTCACCAAGACCCACTCGCTGAGCCCTGTGTGGCTGCACAAGAAAGTGGGTTGAAGGTCCCTCTCCGCTCCCATCCAGCGGTCGGGACGTCCTCTGCTCAGGGTTCAGGGTTATTGTCTGGGCTCTCCTAGAGTCACAATCATTGTCACAATGACTGTCGGATTCTCCTCTGTTGACAGATGCACCGGTGGTGGTGAATTTGTCTCAGGACGAGAAGTGTGGGGGTGGAGGCAACCTGTGCATCTTCTGTGAGGTGGAGGCTAATCCTCGTGCCACCATCACCTGGAGGACTATGGAGAGTGATGCGTCAGAATTGATCCAGACCCAGGATGGAAATGGAACCGTGACCTTGAGCTCCTTAGTCATGAAGCGATCACAGGAACAGAATGTGACCTGTGTGGCGGCAAACGAGGTTGGCGAGACCGAGGCCATGTTTCACATTAAAGGTGCTCATTCCGGAATTCACTCACTCAGGGTTTTGCTTCTTCCTCGTTTAACTCACGGAGGGTTTCACTCACTCACGATTGCCCTCATTCATGACTTTACTCAATCTACCTCCGTGCTGTGTGCAGGTTAACCTCGGGGAATAAGTGAACGGCGTATTTAACAGAAATTGCTAAGGTTAATTTGCTGCCAAAATATGTGCGTTTTTGCACAATTAGGTTTTCATAAGTTTTTTAAATTTTATTTCAGAAGAGCCAAACTGTGCAGTTTAAATATTAACCTAGCAGTCATTAGGGGCCTAATTCCCTTCTTGTGGCAAGGACAAATCGAGCAGCACAACACTGATAATTTTGTAGCTCTTTACAAAACACGTGGCGACAAAAGCACGTGACTTGTGGCGAGGCACGTGGTGAGGGGCTGGCACAGGAAGCCACCGGCTCCACGCCGCCCAGACCGTGACGGGGAGAGCCACGTGCAGCCGTGAGGGCTGCGGCTGCACGGGAGAGGCACCGCGCTGCACGCGCCCCTCTCCCCTGGCCAGCCACAGGGAGCTGCTGCTTCACCACCGCACTCGCTGCCCGCCTGGAGCCTCGAATGCACGCGGGTGGCCTTCCATGTGGGCTCGTCTTGTGGCCACGAGTGGCACCACGGTAACGAGGAGGGCTGCTTTCTGCAGGCGGCGCGGGCTCTGGCTGCTGGTGCGTCCTCTCCCTCCTGGCGCCGGTGGTCGCCTGGACGGCCGTAGGGCTTTGTCTGCTGCTGCTGTGGCGAGGGGCGGGCGAGGTAACGGTGCAGCTGCCTCCATCGTGTCTGAGTGTGGCGACTGCCGCCCCTCTCCCCAGCTCCAACCTCTCTGTAACCTTCCGCTGCTACCTGTTTGTGGTGTGTTCAGGGAACAGCTCGAGATGGATATTGGGTCCTGACAGGGTGGTTCTAGCAGCAGGTTGTACGCGCCAGGGAGTTGAGCCGATGGGTTTTCCGGTTTGGTTCAGGCAAAGCGCGAAAACCAATTGAACCGGTTACAGTTCACTTGGCTCAAAACGGTCTCGAATGTGCAATGTTGATGTAGCGACCCAGACCACGACCAAGGGCCTTGAGCTCAGGGCTGGTTTTATTGTCCCGTAACCTCCGCCGCTCCAGAGCACTTCCAAGTCCCATAACCGGGAACAGGTCGCATGAGTGACAACTGAAGCAATGCCCGCTTCACAGCCCTCTTCAACAGTAGCTATATCCAACACACAATTACACTGAACACAGCGCCAGCTTGCACAGCACGCTTCAAGAGTCGGTGTATTCAGACAGTCGGTTTCAAATAGCACCGCACGGTCCTGCACAGTGCTGGGTGGAGTTTGCGTCTCTCCCCTCTCCCCGTGGTCGCGTGGATCTTTTCTCTCCGGCTCCTCCGATTTTTTTTCCTCCAAATTAAAAACGTGCACTGAGATTAATTTGATTATTTTGCTGCTGTAAATTTCCACATGATGAGCCACTTTGTTGAGCTCGCATTTGTCGCCAGGAGGCTTCTGAAAAATAAGTGAATACCTCAGTGGGCTTTGACTGGTAAGATAAAAAATAGTTGAGTTTAACTTGTTTGTTTTCAAGTGATTTGTTTACCTTTCCTATACAATGCACTCCTGTCGTGTTTGTGTTTTGTTTGTTGTTGTAACGTTCTTACCCGTCCCTACTGGGCATTGCTGAACAACAGATTTCTAGCTCACCGGATTGTCCTCCAGTATAAATACATATTAATTTTGGAGCTTTCGTGACTGCAGGAATTATTCTTTGGTTCTTTCGGTAAAGTCACGTATAAAGATAAAATAATAAATGAAATAATAGCAAACTACGACGTTTCGATTGCAACACAAGCAATCATCATCAGGTATAAAAGAAATAGCAACAAAAATCTAACCAGAAAACTATAGACAGACATATAAGATTTTTGTTGCTATTTCTTTTATACCTGATGATGATTGCTTGTGTTGCAATCGAAACGTCGTAGTTTGCTATTATTTCATTTATTATTTTTTCTTTATACGTGACTTTACCGAAATAACCAAAGAATAAATACATATTTTGATTCTCCTCGTACACCCCCTTTGATTCTCAGCACACCAACCCCCCCCTCCCCAGCTGAAGGCCTCCTCCTGTTGCCATTGTTTAGAAACCGTAAATACTTGTCTATCTCCCCACCACCACCACCCCCCATCTATCACTGCCGCTTGGGTTCACGACTTATACCCCCATGGGTCGCTAACATTTACATCTTCATTTGATTGCTGGCCGTGCACGCGTTGATTCACGGACTGCACTTCCACGCCTGCGGGGACGCGCAGAGCGCGACATTCAGACGAAGCAACAGGCATCGCGCAGGGCGCAGCAAACGCGGCACATCACCACGGTTGGGGACGAGTCTCTCGTGGTACAAGCCCTGTTGACTTACCCACAAAGTGGAACTTATTTTATAAACCTCAGGAGGGATGATTGGCTGAGTAAACCCCCAACCAGGATGTGAACTCGTCACTTTCCGACCGCGAGAAGATCGCGCTCCCGCTGAGCCACCCGCGTTGAAAGGTGAAGGAGCAGCCCTGGCACTGCGTGCTCACGCCACTGCTGGCGGAAGGGACTCCATTCGAGGGAGCCGTCTCGGGTATTTGGTTTACTCTCTAACACTGAGCGGACGTGTTGCTAGAGGTGGGCTCACCCACACTTTACCCCACCACACGCAACCTGCCGATCGACTAACTGTGATCTTCCTATTTACACAACCGCCAGATGGAGGTGATTGCGGCGAGTTCAATAAAGTTTGCCAATCACGTTGCCTTGCTGGGAGATGTAAAACGAACGAGCGACCTTTGGATTGCAAGTCCAGCGTGCAAACCCTGGCACCCAGAACATCTCCCTGAGCCAGCTGAGGGAGCGTAGGCCAATGTGCCATCGAGTGTACGAAAGTGAAACTGGCCAATAAAAACATGACTGTAAATATTACATGAAAAATTATTTACCATTTAAACCTTTTTAAACTGATATATTAATTTAGTTTTAGGAGTTTCATTCAAGTGAAGATAGTTTAATTTAGCATATGTTTTTTTATTTTGGTTCATGAAAAGTGTTTGATACCAGTTTCCCGTTCCGGTTCAAATTAAAAACTCACCTCATTGGGAGCCCCTCTGCCTGAAGGTCGTGATCAAGCCGAGCCCTGACACGGGCGGTCACTGTGCTGAGCATTGTCCATGTGCCCCCCAGACCATTTCTGATTTAAATGTCACCACTGTACCGGTTGATGTATCTACATTAATCTATCAATGACTGTAAGTGCGACACTGTTAAGTTTCTCTTCAGTATAGGACAGTACCCGAAGGTGCGTTTCGTATCGTGGCGATGTGTCTGCCTCTGTGCAGGGTGGCGCTGGCGCCCATGACAAGGCTCGGCCCGTCCATGGCACGGACACGGAGGGCATTCGCATGGAAGTGGCAACTCCAGCCACGGACCTCCGTTCATCACCAGATTAGGACAGCAAGGCGTCGAGATAATCTCCTGGGGCTGTTAGTTAACACAGGGTGGTTCATTGGTAGCTAAAACAAGTCTTGCATTGACACATTAACAGTTGGATAATTTGAATTAAATTCGAATAAAAAATATAACAAATAGAAATGTAAGTCTCAAGTGTAGATATCAATAAACCCGGATTAGACTAGGGCCTGGGGGTTTTTTCTGCCCTGCTTTGACAGAGTTTAGGGATCTTTATTGGAGCATGCAGTTGCACCACAAGCGAACCACTGCAGAAGGTCCTCTAGACATCGTCATTAGCACTGTTTTATACAAACGTTTCCAGCAGCGTTTTTCAACCATGATTGTGCTTTTGTTTTGGTTTATTGAAAAGATGAATATTAATCATGTTTACTATAACCGAGCTTGCTAACAAATTGTGATAATTGTGCATAACTTGACAATATATTTGTAGCAGCCAGAAAGCCGAATGTTACAGTATCTCGTCGGACAGTGATTGGTCTGTCCAATGTAAGCAACCCTCTTGTCTCGTTGCCCACACCGGGCCTCTTGTTGAGTAGGGGCGCAATTTGAGGGGGGTGGAGTGTGGCAGTCAGAGAGGGGATAGCTTTGGGGGCAGGGCGTCTCCTGCTTGGGGAGGGGTTCAGATTGATAGGGGGGGGTGGAGCTTGGATAAACGGAAACCAGTGACAGAGATGAAGGGGGAGGAGGAGTGAGAGACGTGAGGGGGCGGCATTTTGCGGGTTCCGTTCCACGTCTTGATCGACGCGTCTGTTGCGCTGCGCTGCAGACTTGAGATCACTCGGACCACGGTGAAACTCCTCCTCGTTCACGGCAAGAGAGTCGGCCGTGTCGTTGTGTCATCCCAGCAACCCTCGTCTCGGAGCCAGGAGTCTTGGTGACAAGAACTTGCTGGCCTGTGAGCGTGATCGACTGGGGTTCTGCTGTTGACTGCTGGGCTGTTCGCCAGTGTGTCATCCCAGTAACCCTCGTCTCGGAGCCAGGAGTCTTGTTGACAACAACTTGCTAGCCTTTGAGCGTGATCGACTGGGGTTCTGCTGTTGACTGCTGGGCTGTTCGCCAGTGTGTCATCCCTGCAACCCTCGTCTCGGAGCCAGGAGTCTTGGTGACAAGAACTTGCTGGTCTGTGAGCGTGATCGACTGGGGTTCTGCTGTTGACTGCTGGGCTGTTCGCCAGTGTGTCATCCCAGCAACCCTCGTCTCGGAGCCAGGAGGACCACCCGCCGCTGCCGTGAGAGTTGCCCTCCGCGAGTGCTGGGGACTGCGGGACACTCGCGGGGAAGAGGGGAGGTGACTGCCGGAGGGCCGTGAGATTGTCCCTGGAACGTTTTGTTTAATCTGTTCCAGAACTGGGGGACACTTCACAGGTACCCTCGACGGTTGCTCCGCAGGTGTCTCCCGTCAGCGTTTGTGTTTGAGCAGATCCGTGAAAGCGGTATCGTCAGATTGTTGTTTGTATTGTTTGTTGTTGCTGCTGAGGGTGATTTGGGTTGCTATCATGGCTGGTGATATTTTCACTCCAACGGAGAAGTAGCAAACTTGTTGTTGTTAAACTCCATGATTTTGTAGATTACTGGCCGTGATCCTTGTTATACTCCGCACACGGTCATCGGGGGCGTTGCGTGAAACAGGGGCCCCACCATAAACTAAACCACAGCGGTGCGAGTACTGAGAGATCGGGATTCGGCTATAGACCGAGACCTCCAAAGCTCATGTCGCAAATGAACGCACCATTACAATATTCGGCCTGATTAGCGCTCGTGCATTCATATTAAAGTTGTAAGGACCTCTCACAGCACTGACAATATTCTAATTTTATTCCACCGATGTACATGTTTTCTCTTTACAGCTTTTTTTGTTATAATCCCAATGTTTTCCTTTGGACATGGATTTTGCGTAAGCGGAGATCTAACATGCTGAGTGGCAGAATTTAGGTTAAGCAAAAAACTACAAATATGATGCAACTCTGTTGACGCAAACATGGATATGCGCGCTTTATTGTATTCTGCTGAAAAATAAATCAAATGTGACGGTCAAGTCCCTGTGCAGATTAAATACATTTCTAGTTGTAAAAGCAACAGCCAGGCCTCGCCTTGTGTGACCGAGCAGTCTCAGCGTGACCTCGGCCTCCGGGTGACCCGGCCCCCTACGAGATGCGGGTGAACGAGGCACTCGTGGCTGCGGGCTCTGCCGTCGCAAGCGCGTTCCTGCTCCTAGACACAGAGAGGGGGAACGTCACCACGAGCATCACGACGCGTTACACACGCAGTGTGCATGGAGCACGTGGCACGGTGGGCGACGTCAAAACGCAAAGTTCAGAAGGGAGAAGTGGTAAAGAGTTGCAAAGCTGCATCCTCACTCACGCTGTGCACGCGGTCCCTCCCGAACCCCGCGTCTCCACTGGGTCCACGAAGAGCTGCGATCTCTCCGGGACACTGCCAGGCGGGGTCCTGGAGACTCCTCTCCTGCAATCAGACAAGTTGGTTCGAGTGCCTGTGTCTGTTGAGGCTGTGTCTTGTGAATCTGACTTTGTCTAGTGAAGCTGTATAGTGAGCCTGTTTGTGTGTATTGAGCCTGGCTGTTAACGATGAGTCTGTCTAGTGAGCCTGTAGTGTGAGCCTGTTTGTGAGGCTGATGTGTGAAGTGAGTCTGTGCAGTAAGCCGGTCTGTGTCTAGTGAGTCTGTATATCGTGAGCCTGTGCAGTGAAGTGGCGACGTGGGGCGTCCATAGTGGAGCCTCCGCGGTTTCGGTGTTTGTCAGCAGCTCGAGTGGCTCGTCCTGTCTGCGTTGTGGACAGGAATTCAACGCGCCCGTTGTTTTTCCTCCTGCATCATAGCAGGTACACGAGTTATGTTGCCGTACATTGCACAGAACACAGAACACGTTTACCAATAACGCTACATTGAAGGGGAATAATGTATCTATTATATTTATTATGAAAAAAAATTTATTGTAATTTTATTCATCTTTTGCACCACTGTTAAGGCACGGTGGGTGACATCAGAACAGTCACTGCAAGAAACAGTGGAAAGAAAAAGTGGTCTAGAATCGGGAAGCCGAAGCAAACCGCAGCAGACTCGCCATACTTCCACACTGCCCACGCCTTCTGCAAACCCCACACCCCGCGTCTCCCAGCAGGTGCAGGGAGAGAGCTCTGGTCTCTCCAGATTCCTCTCTTCACATGTTCTCACGTCTCTCGCTCTGGTGCCCTCATTTCCTCAATCTCTTCTCAATCTCTGCTCCCTCCATGCCGTGGTAGACTCCTCTATCTCCAGTGCACGAGGAGTTGTCATGGGTGACCCCTAAGCTCAAATCTTGCTCTTTCAACGCAAAGCCAACTAATGCGGGCATCTCTCACTCGCTCGGAGGCATTTCATCGCTCCTCATTTCCACGTGGGACATGTCTCCATTTGTCACTTGTACTTTGTTCAACACACATCACTGTGATGCGACTTCACGTCTCATATGCCCCTTGTGTCTTGTGCTCTCAGAGGCTTCATATTCTTAGGTTTTTTCGGTAAAGTCACGTAGGTAAAACATCAAAATTAATGAAAATAAAATAAAACAAAAATCACGACGTTTCGGAGGCAACACAAGTCTCCGTCATCAGGTGGGACCGTCACAGCCGAATTAGCTGCATCAAGTGAGGCAATGATTCAAGATGTAATCCCTTATAAGCAAGTTGAAGGGGGGAGGAGAGGGGGGGGCTCATCAGAATGTGGTAGCCAATGAATGGAAACGTATCGGGAGGGAGGGGGGCGGGGCTCAAAGACAGCACGGAGTGCTCAACACTCCGAAACGTCGTGATTTTTGTTTTATTTTATTTTCATTAATTTTGATGTTTTACCTACGTGACTTTACCGAAAAAACCTAAGAATATGAATCCTTGCAGTCACGAAAGCTTCAAATCTAGAACTCTCAGAGGGTGCAGGCAAAGTTTGGGGAGTAAACTATGGGCAGTTGGTGGTGACCGCAAGAGAGGGAGCAGAGGTGGAACTCCATTGCGCGTTCTCGTTCTGCTCGGGACAAGGACCCGTTGCACGATTAAGGTGGATGAGAGATGGCACTGCAGCCACAGCAGATAACATCGTCTACAGCCTCACGCCAACAGAGGTGGCTGAGAGCTACAGAGGGCGGACCTCCTTGAGCAGAGATCTCAGCAGCGGTAGCTGCACTCTCAATATCAAGAATTACGCAGTCTCAGATGCCACCACCTACTACTTCAGATTTGAGTTGAAGACCCAGGCATCCACTGGGACAATAGAAGCTCTGCATCATGTAAAATGTACGACTACAGCTGCAGGATAAAATAATATTAAGGTCACATGGGCTCTCATGTTACTCGCATAATAATTTACATGAATTTCTTAGACTATGGATTCGACCCGCTTTCATATTTTAGGAATATTCACTTAAATGCTTTATGCATTTTATTTTATTTATATTTTGTAATTTGCTTTATTTTTCTCTATCTTGTACTCCTATCGTTAATTTGTATTGTTTGCCGTTGTAAATTGGTGACCTGCCCCTCCTGGACATTTTTCTATAGCTCATGAGATGCCTCCACTCTAAATAGTGAATCTGATTCTGATATTCAGGGGAAGGAGTAATCAGTGGGATGTATTCGGCGCTTCAATGGCGCGACATCTCCAAGTGCCCCACGTAGTTTCCTGAATGCGACTGTGGTCGCTGATGCCGGAATCCACGGCCACTGGGTCCTGCAGGGGCAGACGCGGTACAGGCAGAAGTTCACCGCCATGTGTACGGTAACTGTGTGCGTCTCTCACAGGCGGTGCTGGGCTGACTGCTGCTGACTTTGTGAGCTACAGGCCCTCGGTGGCGGTGAGGGAGGGAGACCGCGCGCTGCTGCCCTGCACCTTCTGCTTCCCGTGTAGCCGCAGTGACCACATCGTGCAGGACTCCTGCCTCATTAACAATGCCTTTGACAAGAACAAATGCCAAGAACATCGTCTACAGCTCAGTGTGGGATTTTAGCCCCAAGAACGAGTACAGGGGAGAGTGGCGCTGGTAGGGAGTCTGAGCTCGGGGAGCTGCTCTCTGGAGATCAGAGATGCGAGGAAGGGAGACTCGAGGACATATTTCTTATGCGCCAACAGCGATGGAACTACGTTCAGGGGCACAGAAGGAAGTATAGTTAGAGGTATGGACCCAATTGAGACGCGGGTTTCGGGAGAGACGGCGTGCACAGCGTGAGGGAGGATGCAGCTTTGCAACTCTTTACCACTTCTCCCTTCCGAACTTTCCCGTTTCAACGTCGCCCACCCGTGTCACGTGCCCCATGCGCACTGCGTCCGCAACGCGTCGCGCAACGCGTGTTAACGTTCCCCTCTCTGTGTCTAGGGGCAGTAACGCGCTGGCGATGGCAGAACCCGCAGCCACGAATTCCTCATTCACCCGCATCTCATAGAAGGCCGAGGACACGCAGCGAACCCGTTGAGGCGTTCCGTGTCCACACTGCTCGGTCACACCATGCGAGGGAGTCCTTGCTGTTGCCTTTACAACTTGAAATATATTTAATTTGCACTGGGCCGTTACTGTTAAATTGTATTTATTTTTCATCAGAATAATACAATAAAGCGCGCACGTCCATGTTTGCGTCAACAGAGTTCATCATGTTTGTAGTTATTCGCATAACATGAATTCCACAACTCAGTATGTTACAACTTCGCTTCTGTTGAATTCACGTCCAAAGGAAAAACATTGGGATTATTACAAAAAAACAGTAAAGCGAAAATATGTTAATCAATGGAAGGAAATTTGAATATTGTCAGTGCTGCAAGTGGTCCTTACAACTCTAATATTAATGTGGGAGCACTAATCAGGCTCAATATATTGTCAAGTCAAGCACAATTATCACAATTTCTTAGCAAGCTCGGTTACAGTAAAAACATTAATATTAGGCTTTTCGATTTAAAGCTTTCATGACTGCAGGGATTCATCTTCTTGGTTCTTTCAGTAAAGCCACGTAGAAGGGAAATAATAAAATAAATATTATGTTTTATTTTTATTATTTTATTACTTCCCTTCCACGTGATATCTGCCTGCTTATATGTCTGTCTATTGTTTTCTGGTTAGATTTTTGTTGCTATTTCATTTATACCTGATGATGATTGCTTGTGTTGCAATCGAAACGTCGTATGCTATTATTTAATTTATTATTTTATCTTTATACGTGACTTTACCGAAAGAACCAAAGAGTAATTCCTGCAGTCACGAAAGCTCCAAAATTAAGATTTTACCAAAAGAACCAAGAAGATTAGGATTTTCAACAACAAAAAACGAAAGCACAATCATGGTTGAGAGATGCTGCTGGAAATATTTGTATAATACAGTGCCGATGACGATGTCTAGAGGACCTTCTGCAGTGGCTCGCTTGTGGTGCAACTGCTGCTCCAATAAAGATCCCTGAACTCTGGCAAAGCAGGGCAGAAAAAACCCCCCAGGCCCCAGTCTAATCCGGGTTTATTGAAATCTACACTTGAGACTTACATTTCTATTTGTAATATTTTTTCCTCCGAATTAAATTCAAATTATCCAACTGTTAATGTGTCAATGCAAGACTTGTTTTAGCTACCAATGAACCACCCTGTGTTAACTAACAGCCCCAGGAGATTATCTCGACGCCTTGCTGTCCTAATCTGGTGATGAACGGAGGTCCGTGGCTGGAGTTGCCACTTCCATGCGAATGCCCTCCGTGTCCGTGCCATGGACGGGCCGAGCCTTGTCATGGGCGCCAGCGCCACCCTGCACAGAGGCAGACACATCGCCACGATACGAAACGCACCTTCGGGTACTGTCCTATACTGAAGAGAAACTTAACAGTGTCGCACTTACAGTCATTGATAGATTAATGTAGATACATCAACCGGTACAGAGGTGACATTTAAATCAGAATTGGTCTTGGGGGCTCAGGGACAATGCTCAGCACAGTGACCGCACGTGTCAGGGCTCGGCTTGGTCACGGCCTTCAGGCAGAGGGGCTCCCAACAAGGGGAGTTTTTAATTTGAACCGAAAACCGAAACAGGAAACCGGTATTAACCACTTTTCATGAGCCGAAATAAAAAATGATGAAAATTTTACTATCTGCACTGGAAGGAAACCCCAAAACAGGATTAAGTTAGCAGTTTAAAAAGGTTTACATGATAAATAAAAATGTAATATAGTGTTTCTTGGCCGGTTTCACTTTTCGTGCACTCGATGGCACATTGACTATGCTCCCTCAGCTGGCTCAGGGAGATGCTCAATGTGCCAGGGTTTGCACGCTGGACTTGCAATCCAGAGGTCGCTCGTTGCTTCTCCATCTCCCAGCAAAGCAACGCGATTGGCAAACTTTATTGAACTCGCCGCAATCACCTCCATCTGGCGGTGGTGTAAATGGGAAGATCGCAGTTGGTCGATCGGCAGGTTGCGTGTGGTGGGGTAAAGTGCGGGTGAGCCCACCTCTAGCAACACGTCCGCTCAGTCTTAGAGAGTTAACCAAATACCCGAGACGGCTCCCTCGAATGGAGTCCCTTCCGCCAGCAGTGGCGTGAGCACGCAGTGCCAGGGCTGCTCCTTCACCTTTCAACGCGGGTGGCTCAGCGGGAGCGCGATCTTCTCGCGGTCGGAAAGTGACGAGTTCACATCCTGGTTGGGGTTTACTCAGCCCATCATCCCTCCTGAGGTTTATAAAATAAGTTCCACTTTGTGGGTAAGTCAACAGGGCTTGTACCACGAGAGACTCGTCCCCAACCGACAGGAGTGCATTGTATAGTAAAGGTAAACAAATCACTTGAAAACAAACAAGTTAAACTAAACTATTGTTTATCTTACCAGACAAAGCCCACTGAGGTATTCACTTATTTTTCAGAAGCCTCCTGGCCACAAATGAGAGCTCAACAAAGTGGCTCATCATGTGGAAATTTACAGCAGCAAAATAATCAAATTAATCTCAATGCACGTCTCTAATGTGGAGGAAAAAAACCGGAGGAGCCGGAGAGAAAAGATCCACGCGACCACGGGGAGAGACGCAAACTCCAGCCAGCACTGTGCAGGACCGTGCGGTGTTAATTGAAACCGACTGTCTGAATACATCGACCCTTGAAGCGTGCTGTGCAAGCTGGCGCTGCGCTCAGTGTAATTGTGTGTTGGATATACCTACTGTTGAAGAGGGCTGTGAAGCGGGCATTGCTTCAGTTGTCGCTCATGCGATCTGTTCCCGGTTATGGGACTTGGAAGTGCTCTGGAGCGGCGGAGGTTACGGGACAATAAAACCAGCCATGAGCTCCAGCCCCTTTGTCGTGGTCTGGGTCGCTACATCAACATTGCACATTGCCGAGAAGTTGTCATTTGTAATTTTATCTGAATTTACGTAGCTAATTTTGAGCAAAAGTTCAAATGTGAACGTGGTTACCCTGCTTCTCGCAACCTTTCCAGACCGTTTTGAACCAAGTGAACTGTAACCGGTTCAATTGGTTTTCGTGCTTTGCCTGAACCAAACCGGAAAACCCATCGGTTCAATTCCCTGGCGCGTACAACCTGCTGCTAGAACCACCCTGTCAGGACCCAATATCCATCTCGAGCTGTTCCCTGAACACACCACAAACAGGTAGCAGCGGAAGGTTACAGAGAGGTTGGAGTTGGGGAGAGGGGCGGCAGTCGCCACACTCAGACACGATGGAGGCAGCTGCACCGTTACCTCGCCCGCCCCTCGCCACAGCAGCAGCAGACAAAGCCCTACGGCCGTCCAGGCGACCACCGGCGCCAGGAGGGAGAGGACGCACCAGCAGCCAGAGCCCGCGCCGCCTGCAGAAAGCAGCCCTCCTCGTTACCGTGGTGCCACTCGTGGCCACAAGACGACCCCACGTGGAAGGCCACCCGCGTGCATTCGAGGCTCCAGGCGGGCAGCGAGTGCGGTGGTGAAGCAGCAGCTCCCTGTGGCTGGCCAGGGGAGAGGGGCGCGTGCAGCGCGGTGCCTCTCCCGTGCAGCCGCAGCCCTCACGGCTGCACGTGGCTCTCCCCGTCACGGTCTGGGCGGCGTGGAGCCGGTGGCTTCCTCTGCCAGCCCCTCACCACGTGCCTCGCCACAAGTCACGTGCTTTTGTCGCCACGTGTTTTGTAAAGAGCTACAACATTATTAGTGTTGTGCTGCTCGGTTTGTCCTTGCCACAAGAATGGAATTAGGCCCCTAATGCCTGCTAGGTTAATATTTAAACTACACAGTTTGGCTCTTCTGAAATAAAATGTAAAAAAAAATTATGAAAACCTAAAATTGTGCAAAACCCATTATATTTTGGCAGTAAATTGACCTTAGCAATCACTGTTAAATATGCCGTGTACTTATTCCCCGAGGTTAACCTGCACACAGCACGGAGGTAGATTGAGTAAAGTCATGAATGAGGGCAATCGTGAGTGAGTGAAACCCTCAGTGAGTTAAACGAGGAAGAAGCAAAACTCTGAGTGAGTGAATTCCGGAATGAGCACCTTTAATGTGAAACACGGCCTCGGTCTCGCCAACCTTGTTTGCCGCCAGACAGGTCACATTCTGTTCCTGTGATCGCTTCATGACTAAGGAGCTCCGAGTCAGGGTTCCATCCCCACGCTGGGTCTGGATCAATTCTGACGCATCACTCTCCATAGTCATCCAGGTGATGGTGGCATGAGGATTCGCCTTCACCTCACAGAGGATGCAGAGGTCACCCCCACACGTCTCGTCCTGAGACAGGTTCACCACCACCGGTGCATCTGTCAACAGAGGAGAATCCGACAGTCATTGTCTTGACAACTGGATGGGAGTGGAGAGGGAGGCTCTCATTACTCCATTGTGCAGCCACACAGGGCTCAGTGAGTGGGGCTTGGTGACCTTACAGACGGAGTCATCTGTCAAGGCTCTATCTGACAGACTCACAGCATTTACTGTCTGCCCAGCAGGGTTGTCCTGTGCTGGCACTGAGGAGTTCTGCATCTCATGTCACCTGGCCCTGTGTGCAGACTAAAGATCACTGTTCAGTTTATTTCACATGCAGCAGCTATGATCACCTGTTATCTCTCCTCGAGTAATTAAATGGCTCACAGTTACTGGAGGGCATCACACAAAGCCAGCAATTACTGTGCCACCATAGCACGACACAGTGGCACAGTCTGTACACTGATCTAAACACAAGGGCAATAACCACTGCTGGACACTCACACTTCACGTCCAGGATGAATTCTTGGACCATCGTTGAGGCCAGGTCGCCTCCCGAGGCTTCACAGCGACATTTCCTTCCATCGTCCTCGGCTGTCGGGGTGAAGCTGAGCCGGCTCGTCACGGTGAACGTCCCGTCTGGAGATTGACTCCGGGAGGTTGAGTTTGTCCACTTGACGACGTCGTCCAAGACCCAGCGGACGGTGACAGAGTCCATGGGGACCATGGCGTCCACGCTGCAGCCCAGGGTGGCCGGCACGGTGGCACGGAGCTCTGACTGGGCCCGTAGAAAGGCTGAACACCAGGGGCATGGGTTACTGACATGAGTTGACATGGGCAGGTAGAGTGATATTAACAGTCCAGAACATCATCCACAATGCACAGAGGCTGTGAATGAAAATACAATATCCCAAATATTACTAAAATATTGGCATTTAAATATATATGTGACTGTTATATTTGTAGTGACTGGGAATGTCACTGTGTGGTGCCGGGCTTGCGAGGCCACGGTGGATAATATGTTGTCATTATGTGCAATCCGGTTACTGGGCGTAGTACCAGCCCTAGCGGGGCTTGGGTGAGCGCTGGTTAGCGCGGAAGCACCATGTACAGTGTTGCGGTGTGCGCTCCCGGTGAGAAAGCGAGAGGGAGTGTCAACCAGCCAGGGTTACGTTGGGGCATGATACGCTAGTTGGCCTGCCGACACATAACCGGATGATATTGAAGGGGGGCCACCGGTGGAGGGGGTCTGGTGGATGGTCACGTGGTATAGAAGAGCTCTCGGGAGCCTTCGGGAAAGGGCCAGAGAGATCTAGAAGGTGGGCGGGGCGAGTGGCGGAGCCAGCCCCAGCCGGGGCCGATATAACAGGGCCCTGTGAGGGGCTCGAGGTTTTTGCCTGTTGGTGAGAGAAAATCCACGTCGGGTTGAAGAAGCCTCTAGCCACGTGGTCCGGGACCCAGCTTGTGGTCCGGACCGGAAGAGCGGGCCCGTCGTAGTTCTGCCGTAGCGTGGCTAGAATGTAGTTCACCACCCGAGTGTAGGTTACATTATGTTATGTCGTTGTTAATAAAAAGTGTTGCTCCCAAGACAACGTCTGCGACTCAGTTGGACTCACTACATATTGTTACTGAAGTACAAACTGGGTGAACACAACAACCGAACCTCACATCACCGCACACACAGGAACCGCACAGCATCAACAATAATCTTTCAGCAAAAACAGTAATCACACATCACACACAGTAATCACACATCACACACAGTAATCACACACAGTAATCACACAACACGCAGTAACCGCACATCACACACAGTAATCACACAACACACACAGTTATGACACATCACACACAGTAATCACACATCACACACAGTAATCACACATCACACACAGTAATCACACATCACACACAGTAATCACACAACACACACAGTAATCACACACAGTAATAACACAACACGCAGTAACCGCACATCACACACAATAATCACACATCACACACAGTAATCACACATCACACACAGTAATCACACATCACACACAGTAATCACACAGCACACACAGTAATCACACATCACACACAGTAATCACACAACACACACAGTAATCACACAACACACACAGTAATCACACAACACACACAGTAATCACACATCACACACAGTAATCAAACATCACACACAATAATCACACATCACACACAGTAATCACACATCACACACAGTAATCACACAACACACACAGTAATCACACAACACACACAGTAATCACACATCACACACAGTAATCACACATCACACACAGTAATCACACATCACACACAGTAATCACACAACACACACAGTAATCACACATCACACACAGTAATCACACATCACACACAGTAATCACACATCACACACAGTAATCACACATCACACACAGTAATCACACATCAACACAGTAATCACACAACACACACAGTAATCACACAACACACACAGTAATCACACAACACACACAGTAATCACACATCACACACAGTAAGCACACAGTACACACAGTAAGCACACAACACACACAGTAATCACACATCACACACAGTAATCATACACAGTAATCACACAACACACACAGTAATCACACATCACACACAGTAATCACACATCACACACAGTAATCACACAGCACAGACAGTACTCACTCAGCAAATACAGTAATCACACAGCACACACAGAAATCACACATCACACACAGTAATCACACAACACACACAGTAATCACACATCACACACAGTAATCACACACAGTAAGCACACAACACACACAGTAATCACACAACACACACAGTAATCACACACCACACACAGTAATCACACAGCACAGACAGTACTCACTCAGCAAATACAGTAATCACACAGCACACACAGAAATTACACATCACACACAGTAATCACACAACACACACAGTAATCACGCATCACACACAGTAATCACACATCACACACAGTAATCACACACAGTAATCACACACAGTAATCACACAACACACACAGTAATCACACATCACACACAGTAATCACACATCACACAGTAATCACACAGCACACACAGTAATCACACAACACACACAGTAATCACACAACACACACATTAATCACACAACACACACAGTATTCACACAACACACACATTAATCACACAACACACACAGTATTCACACAACACACACAGTAATCACACAACACACACAGTAATCACACATCACACACAGTAATCACACAACACACACAGTAATCACACAACACACACATTAATTACACAACACACACAGTATTCACACAACACACACAGTAATCACACAACACACACAGTAATCACACATCACACACCGTAATCACACAACACACACAGTAATCACACATCACACAGTAATCACACAACACACACAGTAATCACACAACACACACAGTAATCACACATCACACACAGTAATCACACATCACACACAGTAATCACACAACACACACAGTAATCACACACACACAGTAATCACACAGTAATCACACACAGTAATCACACAACACACACAGTAATCACACATCACACACAGTAATCACACATCACCACAGTAATCACACATCACACACAGTAATCACACAGCACACACAGTAATCACACAACACACACAGTAATCACACAACACACACATTAATCACACAACACACACAGTATCACACACACACACATAATCACACAACACACAGTATTCACACACACACACATTAATCACACACACACAGTATTCACACAACACACACAGTAATCACACAACACACCAGTAATCACACATCACACACAGTAATCACACAACACACACAGTAATCACACAACACACATTAATCACACACACCACAGTATTCACACAACACACAGTAATCACACAACACACACAGTAATCACACATCACACAGTAATCACACACACACACAGTAATCACACAACACACACATAATCACACAACACACACAGTATCACACAACCACACAGTAATCACAACACACACAGTAATCACACATCACACACAGTAATCACACAACACACACATTAATCACACATCACACAGTAATCACACAACACACACAGTAATCACACAACACACACAGTAATCACACACAGTAATCACACATCACACACAGTAATCACACAACACGCACAATAATCACACAACACACACAGTAATCACACAACACACACAGTTATCACACAACACACAGTAATCACACAACACACACAGTAATCACACAACACACACAGTAATCACACAACACACACAGTAATCACACAACACACACATTAATCACACAACACAAACAGTATTCACACAACACACACAGTAATCACACAACACACACAGTAATCACACATCACACACAGTAATCACACAACACACACAGTAATCACACATCACACACAGTAATCACACAACACACACAGTAATCACACATCACACAGTAATCACACAACACAAACAGTATTCACACAACACACACATTAATCACACAACACAAACAGTATTCACACAACACACACAGTAATCACACAACACACACAGTATTCACACAACACACACAGTAATCACACAACACACACAGTAATCACACATCACACACAGTAATCACACATCACACACAGTAATCACACAACACGCACAATAATCACACAACACACACAGTAATCACACAACACACACAGTAATCACACAACACACACAGTAATCACACAACACACACAATAATCACACAACACACACAGTAATCACACAACACACACAGTAATCACACAACACACACAGTAATCACACAACACACACAGTAATCACACAACACACACAGTAATCACACAACACACACAATAATCACACATCACACACAGTAATCACACAACACACACAGTAATCACACAACACACACAGTAATCACACATCACACAGTAATCACACACACACAGTAATCACACAACACACAGTAATCACACAACACACAGTAATCACACAACACACAGTAATCACACATCACACAGTAATCACACAACACACAGTAATCACACAACACACAGTAATCACACAATACACACAGTAATCACACAACACACACAGTAATCACACAACACACACAGTAATCACACAACACACAGTAATCACACAACACACAGTAATCACACATCACACAGTAATCACACACACACACAGTAATCACACAACACACAGTAATCACACAACACACACAGTAATCACACAACACACACAGTAATCACACAACACACAGTAATCACACAACACACAGTAATCACACAACACACAGTAATCACACAACACACACAGTAATCACACAACACACAGTAATCACACAACACACAGTAATCACACAACACACACAGTAATCACACAATACACACAGTAATCACACAACACACAGTAATCACACAACACACACAGTAATCACACAACACACACAGTAATCACACAACACACACAGTAATCACACAACACACAGTAATCACACACACAGTAATCACACAACACACAGTAATCACACATCACACAGTGATCACACAACACACACAGTAATCACACATCACACACAGTAATCACACAACACACACAGTAATCACACAACACACACAGTAATCACACATCACACACAGTAATCACACAACACACAGTAATCACACAACACACAGTAATCACACATCACACAGTAATCACACATCACACACAGTAATCACACAACACACACAGTAATCACACAACACACAGTAATCACACAACACACAGTAATCACACATCACACACAGTGATCACACAACACACACAGTAATCACACAACACACATATTAATCACACAACACACACAGTAATCACACAACACACACAGTAATCACACAACACACAAGGTAATCACACAACACACACAGTAATCACACAACACACACAGTAATCACACATCACACAGTAATCACACAACACACACAGTAATCACACAACACACACAGTAATCACACAACACACACAGTAACCACTCGGTGCTCTGCACCAGGGAGCCTCTCCTCGGCTTCCTCTGAGCAGTGGCCTCACCGCTCAGTTCTGCACGAATTCCATGAATCACAGGGAACCTTCAACCCCAACTCTAGGTCAGGGTAATTGGATACCCCCTGTGTGTTAGTTGGTGAAAGAGTTCGTAGATTGTAGACCGAGTGAATTCAATGTCATGTGTCACTACGCTGGGGAGTGATCACTTACAGAAAACCTGCCGCTCCGTCCATGAATATTGGCTGTTTGTGTTGGAGCTCGTCACTTCACATCCGTACCAGCCCACGTCTTTTACAGCCACAGCTTCCAAGGTCATCTGACTTCTCCTCTCGGGCAAACTCTCGTACTGACCATCTGATCTGTACTTCCACCACATAAATTTGACTGCTTGCTGGGAGCTCGTACTACTGCAGTTCAGAGTGGCTCGTGTCCCCACTTTCTTGATCAGTCTCTCGCTTCCCTCAGTCTTGGGCGTGAATGACTTGTTAAAAACTGAAACAAAAATATTTTACAACAATAACCATGTATGTTGAACTTCCTTTGCACCATACGTAGCCAACCGTGCTAATCGGAGGTACGGAATCATGGTTATAATACCCCATCATAACTACTATGATGGTTATGATGGGGTATATTATGTATCACAAGTCACAGCTCTCCCTGATGAATGCTCACACTGGACTCACAGGGACGGGCCAGTAATAATACTATCCTCTATTTAGCTAGGAAAGCCTCCCTGAGTCACAAGACTTTTACATTGGACCCTCACATTGAGATGTTTGGCCAACTCCATGAATGATATTTTGGCAAGTGAGAGGGAATCGTGCGTACGTGGGTGAAACACTCATAGCTCCGCACAGATAGACTCAGGATTCCATAGCAGTACTGCCATCTCCTGGTCTGCTGGCAGCCAGTGTGCACAGAGAGCTTAGCACTGCGGCCCCACGGCCCCACGTATCGGTAGGGCCAGCCCTGTGAGCTCAGCCTCGCGCTCTGCCCAGACGCAGCAGCACATCCACGAACCCTGAGCTCGTGGTGGTTACGGGGTCTGGTCTGGCAGGGCGGTGGGGATCGACAGTGACTGGAGGCAGGGCTCAGCACGCGGCCGTGTTCAGCACCACGTGGTCTGCACCACGTGGGGCGTGGTGGGCGGGGCTGCAGTCGGCCACGTGGAAGAGGTCCTTTTGGATGCACTTTGAAAATGTTCACTCGTCTCAGTGTTTCCAGATGAGAGGGTTTACCTCTGTACCTTGACGTCTCGTTGGGGTTAATGAGTGTAAAGAGGGTTTGTAAAGAACACTTTCGTTGTGAATCTGTTTCCTTGACTTCTAATAATCGACTATAACCGCCATTTGAACAGCAAGGATGCCTTGTTTGCTGGACTTGGTACCTGGGAAATGCAATGAATACCCGACATTTGCTTTTAAAACACAGGGTTCAATACAAGTTCACTTTGACCTACAATTTGGTGATTAACTTTTTAATTCCGTGGGCTTAGACATACTGACCCAGTCTCCTAGAGGTGAGAGAGGAGGCGAGGCGCAGGGTACAGACTGTGGAGCTCACACAACGCGAACTTTCCCAGTGGCAGAACAATGTTCAACTGCGGGCGGATCTCGCATCGCCCACATTCGCCTCTAGACATAAACACGAGTTTTCATTTGTTTACCATTTACGGTGTAATGCCTCTTAAGTTGTTTAGTGTTAGAAAAAGAGTCATGAAAGGTTCCGTACCTGTTATTGTGATGCCTGCATCGTCACCGAACTTAGTTCCATCGATGATAGCGCGGAAGAAAAATGTCCTTGAGTCTCCCATCCTCGCGTCTCTGATCTCCAGGGAGCAGCTCCCCGAGCTCAGACTCCCCACCAGCGCCACTCTCTCCCTGTACCCCTCTATGGGGCTGGTGTTGCTCACTGAGCTGTAGACGATGTTATCTGTCTTTGTCTCGTCAAAGACATCGTTAATGAGCCAGAAGCCCTTCACGCCGTGGTCACTGCGACTCCACGAGAAGCAGAAGGCGCAGGGCAGAAGCACCCGGTCTCCCTCCCGCACCGCCACCGAGGGCCTGTAGCTCGCAAAGTCAGCAGTCAACCCAGCACCGCCTGTGAGAGACGCACACAGTGACCGTACACATGGCGGTGAACTTCTCCTGTACCGCGTCTGCCCCTGCAGGACCCAGTGGCCGTGGATTCCGGCATCAGCGACCACAGTCGCATTCAGGAAACTACGTGGGGCACTTGGAAATGTCGCGCCATTGAAGCGCCGAATACATCCCACTGATTACTCCTTCCCCTGAATATCAGAATCAGATTCACTATTTAGAGTGGAGGCATCCGATGAGCTATGAAGCTCTTTTAGACAAGTGTCAATTAGGGGCAGGTCACCAACTTACAATGGCAAACAATGGAAAATTATAGGAGTATAAAATAGAGAAACGGTAAGCAAGTCACGAAATGTAAATAAATACAAATACAAAAAGTATTTAAACAAGAGAGCTCATGTGAGCTTAATATTATTTTATCCTGCAGCTGTAGTCGTACATTTCACACGAAGCTGAACTCCTGGTGTCCCAGTGTACGCATCGGTCTTCAACTCAAATTTGAAGTAGTAGGTGGTGGCATCTGAGACTGCGACATTCTTGATATTGAGAGTGCAGCTACCGCTGCTGAGATCTCCGCTCAAGGAGGTCCGCCTTCTGTAGCTCACAGCCACCTGTGTTGGCGTGAGGCTGTAGACGATGTTATCTGCTGTGGCTTCTTTGCCATCTCTCATCCACCTGACTCGTACAACGGGTCCTTGTCCTGAGGGGAACCAGAAAGTGCAGGGGAGTTCCACCTCTGCTCCCTCTGTTGCAGTCACCACCATCAGCCCATAGTTTACTCCCCAGGCATCGCCTGCAGCCTCTGAGAGCACAAGACACAAGGCGCACACGAGACATGAAGTCGCATCACAGTGATGTGTGTTGAACATCTGTCGCGTAGTAAGTAGGCAACTGTGCTAATAGGTGGTGCGTGATCACGTGCACACAGACAGAGTCCTCGTGACAAGTGGAGACACGTCCCACGTGCACACGAGTAGCAGTGAAATGCCTCCGAGCGAGTGAGAGATGCCCCCATGAGGTGGCTCCGTGTTGAGAGAAGAGCACTGGGGCTTAGGGGACACCCAGGACAACTCCTCATGCACTGGAGGCAGAGGAGTCTGCCACGTCATGGTGAGAGCGGAGATGGGGAACAGATGGAGAGAAAGAGGAGTAGAGGGAGAGGTTTGAGAAGAAGTGAAGAGAGGTATATTGAGAGATGGGGGAGTGTGTGAGCAAAAGATATTAGTGAGGAGTCACCGTTCAGACGGAGGCTTCCACTGAGAAGGCACAGGAGGAGGCTGGTCTGGAACACTCCCATCATGCCTGCAACACAGACAGGCTCACTACACAGACAGGCTCACTACACAGACAGGCTCACTACACAGACAGGCACACTACACAGACAGGCACACTACATAGACTGGCTCACTACACAGACAGGCTCACTACACAGACAGGCTCACTACACAGACTGGCTCACTACACAGACAGGCTCACTAGAGAGACAGGCTCACTACACAGACAGGCACACTACACAGACAGGCTCACTACAGAGACAGGCTCACTACACAGACAGGCTCACTACAGAGACAGGCTCACTACACAGACAGGCTCACTACACAGACAGGCTCACTACACAGACTGGCTCACTACACAGACAGGCTCACTACAGAGACAGGCACACTACATAGACTGGCTCACTATACAGACAGGCTCACTACACAGACAGGCTCACTACACAGACTGGCTCACTACACAGACAGGCTCACTACAGAGACAGGCTCACTACACAGACAGGCTCACTACAGAGACAGGCTCACTACACAGACAGGCTCACTACACAGACAGGCTCACTACACAGACAGGCTCACTACATAGACTGGCTCACTACATAGACTGGCTCACTACACAGACAGGCTCACTACAGAGACAGGCTCACTACATAGACTGGCTCACTACACATATAGGCTCACTACACAGACAGGCTCACTACACAGACAGGCTCACTACATAGACTGGCTCACTACACAGACAGGCTCACTACAGAGACAGACTCACTACATAGACAGGCTCACTACACTGAGAGTCTCCCTGTTGTATATATGCCTTTTCCAAAAACATATATTCAGAGTGCTATTGCCTATTTTTTACTTTAAAAAATGCAGTTACACATACCTGTGAACTCCTCCCTCGAGACAACAAAAGGCCTTAATGACTGCGGAAAGTACTAAAACAGTAAAACTGTAATAACGACACTTAGGGGCAATTGAGAGCATCTGTGTCCACAGGCCATTAGATGACTGCTTGAGGAAGGGAGAGAAGCCGGGCATTGATGTGACTTGGGAAATTACTTCCATAAATTAGAACAGACAGACACACACACGTACACCAACAACAACCGCCATTCGCCACTAAGTGGCGGTGACGTCACCACGATGCTTGTGCCAGGCCAAGTGCACCTTGAGGCCACGTGAAGTGTCGAAAGCCCGCTGGCAGGAGGTCACGGGGCAGACCCAGGTGCCACTGGTCGACTGACCGAGATGACCGAGATGACTGGCTGATGCACCACCTGTGCCCCCTACTGTGCCAACTTGCTGTGCTTTAGCCACCCGGCGCTCCGCTCGTTGTTGTGAGCGTCGCTCCTCCGCCCTCCGTTGTTGTTGGAGGGCGACTGCCTCCAACTGCCCAGTAGCGTCCTTCACGAGCCTCCTCCACTGAGGCCGATCTTGACACCGCTGGTACCAGTCATCGGCAAGTCCACTCAGCTCCACGTCCTCCTGTACCACATCACTCCATCTCTTCTCCAGCCCGTGCCGCGCCCGTCTAGCCCCCTCGATCCGGCCGAACAAAAGCTGTTTAGGCATGCGGTGGCTGGGCATGCGGGCTACATGACCCAGCCAACGCAGCCTTGCCTGCCGGAGGGGCTCACTGATGGGACTTTGCCCAGATCTTTCAAGGATTTGTGAGCTCCTCACACAATCCAGCCTGGTTAAACCCAGGATGGATCGTAGGCAGGCCAGCCTAAATGTTTCCAACCGGCGAAGATGCTCCACCAGGGGGGTCCACGTCTCGCAAGCGTAGAGAAGGGAGGGAATGACCGTGGCCGAGAAGACCTGAAGCTTCGTGCGGAGCGACAGACCAGGTAGCTTCCACACAGCGTTACGCAACCGATGAAAAGATATTGCCGCTCGACTGATTCGGAGTGAGACCTCTGCTGATAGACTGGAGCCGGTCATAAGCACACTGCCCAGGTATGGGAAACTCTCCACTCTCTCCACAACTGCCCCATCACCAATTGGGAGTTGTGGGGGTGGAGTGTCCGATGGTACAAAATACCCAGGCAGGTGCTTGGTTTTGGTGGGGCTGATGGTAAGGCCCCACCTCTTAGTGGCACGCTCCAGTCTCAGCAGCAGCGCCTCCAACTCCTCTTCTGAATGAGCAGCTATTACCAAATCATCGGCATACATAACGTGGTTGACCAATAGGGAGCCATCCCTTGATCGCACCCGGGCGTCGATCAGCCTCCCATTATATCTGTACCAAACGGAAATTCCCCCGGTACAGCTATTGAAGGCTTCACGAACTACGCGGTCAAAATAGATGTTAAATAATGTGGGAGCCAGAGGACATCCCTGTCGCACCCCAAGGTGTACAGGGAAAGGCTCCGACTCCCGGCCACGTAGTTTTACCCGGGCCCGCTCACCATCATGAAGGTCCTTAATGATCGTGAGCAGAGGGTCAGGGACTCCGAAAGCACGAAGAACAACCCAGAGTCCAGTCCTACTGATGGTATCATAGGCCTTGACCAGGTCAATAAAGCAGAGATGTAGGTCTTTTTGGAATTCCCTACACCTCTGCTGTAGCAGACGGACAGAAAATATGGCATCTGTGCAGGACCGCCCTTTCCTGAAACCGCATTGGGGCTCCGCAAGCCCCTCCTCAGCGTGCCTAGCAAGGCGATGTTGAATAATCCTTGCCAGGACCTTACCCGGCACACTGAGGAGTGAGATGCCCCTGTAGTTGTTACAGTCTGTGCGGTCCCCCTTCTTAAAGAGGGGGACCACCAGGGCATCCTTCCAGTCCTGCGGAACCCGTCCAGTGGTCCAGACTGTTGTTATGATGTCATATAGGGCAGTCTGTGCACAAACGCCACCCTCCCTCAGCATTTCGCTT